TTCTTTAAATGAAATTTCAAATATAATGCTAATAGTAGTACTAGTTTTCAATATCACGATAAGTCAAACATTACGATACGAGTGTTCCTCTATACATGCATGCTTTGTCTGTTACATATGTCTATTGCAGGATAGCAACACAACTATGTCTCAGAGAATCAGAGTCGGAGAATCGGCGGTGGGTTGCTACAGTTATTATTTTTTTGTTAAATCAAATTTCTATCAACAAACTTAAGCCTTAAATAATAATTTAAAAAAACAAGCTCGAATTGTGCTTTTTATCTAATTATTTTTAATTTCAGAAATCATGAGTTACAGATTTGTTACGTTTCACTATGGATCCAAATCCTGCTTTTTAAGTTGCAAAATAAAATATCAATATTAAAAAAATAAGTTTTTATGTCCATTAATTTACTAGAAAGCAATATTGATATCATTGTTTTCTTTTTCCCAGATAAATTCATGAAAATTTCAATTACGTGTCAAAACTACCTCAAATTAAAAGATATTTTTAAAAATGAAAAATTTGTTAAACTGTTCTAAAACAAATGCTTAATCAGGACTTTGTTCCAAAAACATTACAAATATTCATCGAAATTAAATTCTTTTAGAAATTAATTAGACATTAATTTTTTTAAATATTAATTTTTAAAATATTAATTTGAAATTAGCGCAAACAAAAGTTTAATTTACATGCTTTGAAATCAAATATAATTCTATTAGATACAATTTTTATATTGTGACAAGTAAAAAGTATAATCGAAAAATATGAAGCGTTTCATTTGAATACCATTTTTTTTTTGTTAAAAAAAGTTATTAAAATGAAAATTATTATTTTTATTAGTATAAGTGCAATTATTGGAAATTACAAAAATGTTAGAGCTGTTTAAGTGTGTATAAGTTTCTTTCTGTAAACTTTAAATTAATCTTTGCATAAATGATTTTTTTAAAAGAAATGTAGTTTAAAAATATTGAATTACGCTATTATCGAATTGCACTAACATTTAATTACCTTATAATAAATATTTAGTTAAATACTATTTAGATTCTACAGCACGTATTAAATTTGGACATTAAATTCGTATGATTGCAAAAATAAAAAAAAATTGAAAAGAGGCGTTTATTTTCTAGTACTTTTTTTTTCCGAAACTTTTTTCCAGTGTTTTACTTTTCGTTCACCTTTTTGATAACCATGTCAATTACGTGAAATAAACCATATAAATTTTACGATTTATAAAATTTTTCATATATTTCTTGATTAGTTTTTTATAACCTCAAATGTACACGCAGAAAACAATTCTGGTAAAATTACCTCTTGTTGGTAATGACATTTCTAGTTTAAAAATAAATCAATAAATAAAAACTTTATATTTCTGGTAATAAAGCCCAAAATATGCTGTATTTAAACTATTCATTTGGTAATTTTTCCGTTCATACGCTTTGTCGGAAATTCTGGTTTTCAAAATTATAGTTCTCCCTACTCTACATTTAGTTAAAAACACAATTAAGAAGTAAATTCAACCAAATAATGGTTTTTGTGTTTTTGTGCCATGTTCTAAGATATGTAAATAAATTGAACAAATTTTACTTCATTTACCAAATTATCTCATATTATTGCTCACATTTTATTGTTAATTTTACCAAAATCATTATCAAGGTGCTGCGGTAATAATTACTGAGCTTTTTGTTGTACCCATAGAGCCAGCTAACCGTGGGAGGTTCTCGTGGTTTAGTTCCATCAAAAAAGTCCTCCACGAAGGCAAATTTCTCCCAATACTTGATCCAGGATTTCCCGTGTCTTCTGGATTAGGTTCAAAATTACAAGGCTACGGAGTTGAACATTAGTAGTAATAAAGTCCCCTATATATATTTTTTTTCAGTGTAAAATTATTTAAATTTAAAGCTAATTAATATTTAAAAATCAAATGTGGTATTAATTGAAAACATGTCACTTTTAAAAATAAAACAATGCTTGAAAAACTGAACTTTAAACAAGCGCGTACACAAAGAGACGTCACATCCAATACAAATCTCATTCATCTCAATTTTTTCTTCGGTAACTCCGCTTTAACGCCAAATTAGCCTCAAAAAACACACACTAACACCGACGCACGCCAATTAGAGCCATCTTTTGAAAGTGAAAGAAATGAGGCTTTAAAATAGTCATCAAAAATCATTTAAGGGGTGGACTTATAACTGTGGCGACACATGAAACCTGTCATTACATCGGCTCGGCAGCCTACGTACATTTTTTTTTCGTAGCTAATAGCCATAAAGTTTATTTACCATTCTTCTTTAGAAAAAAATAATAAAATAGGCTCAAAGTGTTTTATTAAGATGTTTTATTTTTTCTTTTACGTAGCGTATCTTGGCAACACCTAGAAAATTAAAAACCGTAATTATCTTTCAACGGAAGTTAAAAACCATTATTTCTTTTTTTGTGGTTAAAAAAAACTTACTTTTTTTTAAAATTTATTTTTTGTTTTAGTTGTTATTGTAATTAAATACTTTTTAAGTTCAATTACTAAGCACAAAGACCTTTCTAAAAACAATACTTTGATTGAATGTAGAAAATGCTAGTGAGATATCCGAATGCGGCTATGCTGCGTCAAACTTAAGTTACACAGGAATTACGATAGTAATAAGAATTTGAGAAAGCGAAAATAAATACTTCTAAAATCTATGTTTGACGATACACAAATCGAATCAACAAACACAAAAGGACCCTAAAGCACTTCGAGGTTGAACAAGCGAAACGTGAATCAAAAAGTATCAAACCATAAGGATAAAGATAATAGAACATTGGTAGTACATAGTAGTATAGTACTTTGATAATCGTACCTGCCAACTCCCATTGTTTAAAAAGCAAAAGATTCAATACAAAATTGCAAAAGATATAACTTTATTTTTAGCATAAATATCTTAAATAAATGTGAAATATAATTTTTTGTATTTATTTTGGAATATATTTGATGCATGTTTTTTTCTTTTATCAGATGCTTCACATCTTATATTTAGCATTATTTATTTCATGCAATATCTATCAGGCTAAGTGCAGCGAAAATTAAATATGTCATTGTTTAAGCAAGACAGAGGAATTTAACCTATTTCAAATTTAATGAACATTTTCAAAACGCAGAAAATGTGAATCTCAGCACTCTTTATTCATATCTTCTTATTCTTAATCAATTATTTATTTACCATTTTATATTATTTACGCGAGAATTATTGAAAGCAATATTTGCCGAATATTAAATGGTCAACATCTTATACAAATTCGTGAGTGTATGATGAGTTTTGATTTAATTTGTAAGTTAACATTTTTCAGTCATACAGAAATATGCTACTGTAATTACTTGGGTCCAGGATCAGCGTTTTGTCTGGGAAAAAAACTGTTTTTTCTTCTGTGTGAAAAAAAAAGTATGATCAAAACTACCAAGATATGGTAACATTTACCGAGTTTCCGACTTTATGGGAACAACAAAAATTTTGCCAAAGTGCTTTGTTAATGATTTCGGTAAAGTTAAGAATAAGTTCGGTAAAGTTAAGAGTAAGTTCGCTAAAGTTAAGAAAACCAGAATTTTCGTTAAACCATTACCGTACACACTAAAAAATTACAAAATGAATGATTTAAGTTCAGTTAATTTTTGTTTTTATTACTATTATTATTATTATGTATTTTATTTTATCATTATGTTGCTTTTTTTACCAGAAATTTCATTACTACACAGTAAGGCAATTTTACCAAATTTTTTCTCTGTGTAAGACATTGAAAAAAATTGGATAAAATGGAAAAAATCTGAATAAAATGGAAGAAACTAAACGAAGCTGATGGCAGTAAGAGTAACCAATACGACCGTTTTTCAATAAGTATTATTATATTTTAAATTTAAGCAAATAAAAATTAATATAGTACTAGAAAGCTGAAACTTTATCACCTCTATTATTTAAAGAAATAACTACATATTATTTGATTGTTCCTTTTCAAATCTATATACCATATAATTTATAATCAGTTTGAGTATTCAAACTTATTCATGCAATTTAATATTATTAAATAATTAAACATATTTATTGTTATGAAATATTTATTAATTCAACAGTAGTTGATTATAAAATCTTGTATGCTATTTTAAATTTTGAAATCACTAATAGCATACATACTTTGAAAGTGATTTGTTAATTTAGCACTATATATAAATAAAATTAATTGCGATTTTTCAATAGTTCTTTATACAACTATAAAATGCGATTTTATTTACTAATACTCATTTAGATGAAATAATAAGGCACTAAAATTTTAAATTTTTTAATGCAAATTGATTTTTCTTTCCAATTACTAGATTTTAGTTTTCACTTACTTAAAAATGATACATTTAATAGATTGGAAATATGCTTGGCTACTGTAAATGTAATATTCTTTAACAAAGCACACCGTAAAAAATTCCGAATCAAATTATGATAAAAAGTACCAGCACTGTTTGCTCTGAAATCCATTTTTGCCGGAATATGTTACAGAAAAAAAATCTGATATACTATAATATTTACAGTAATGACTACCGTAAAATCACTGAATCACTCAAATTAAGTAAATATTACTGTAAAATTACGGTTTAAGTGCCCGTATTTTATACCGTAATTCGATTTGAAATTTTCTTTAATGTAGATTTCACACCTGGTATTTCTTTTTGAAAAAGAGTTTCTATCATTTCTTCCACTTAGGTTGAAAGAAACATAACTCTTCCGGGGTAGTATTTCTTATTATCTCTCCGCTGTGGAAAAAACTTGATATACTTATTAGGTCAAATGTAATCAAATTTTAATTTTCAAAATTATTTAATACTTTCATTACAGAAGATAGCATTTCTTGTTTAGTTAATTATTTATTTTTATTTGCTGTTATGAATTATTTATAATTCGGATTATGCAATCCAAAATAGAAACACAAACAATAAAATTTTGTTTTTAAAGGAACAATAAAATAAGACAAATTTACTTACATCCATGTTCCTATCGATGTTGCACATGCTTCGAATGTTAGGAATAATGTGAGAAGAATAACTTTTTCGATAAACGGAATCCAATGTGCACCATCTGCAACCACTTTACGTCTTTTATTCCACTTCATTCCACTTGTATATACAATTATTCAATACATGGATGTAACTTTATTATACATGGATCAACCTATTGGAATAAAAATTTATATAAACAAAAACACTTTAAATATTTTTTTACATCATTCTACACTGTTAGAATTTTTATTTTGAGATTACGGTAAAATAATCGGCAGCAGGTCAACCAATCATTCAGAAAGTTTATGGTTAGGAACATTTTTTTACCTTTACGGTTTTGTAATCATTTACAACTGGCATAGTTTCTAAAACCTAAAATAAAGCTTAAAAGGATATTTGTGGGTTCGTTTTCTAATAGTCTAGGGTCTCCGATTGAAGGGTGCAGGACACTAGAAACTTTCCATGTATTGAAGTAATGGAGGAAACATTATGGTATCAACGCTGGGAATCGAACCTCTGTTCGGTCGGTCATAAGATTGACCGATTAGCCTTCTCAACTACAGTATGTACCCAACTACACGAAACGAAATGGTTTCATAAGGTGGGCCTAGACGCTGATAGAATTGTGGTTGTTAAGCCTAATTAGGTAAAAGCAATCACTAAAATTTTTCCTCTCACTTAGTTTTGTAATTTTTTCTTTCAGTTTGAATATCATCTTTTTTATGCTTACTTGACTGTTTTGGTTGAATATGGTAAAATAACAATTAAATAATTTGATATTTAATCATTTTTTCCGCAAAATTTTTACAGTGGAGCTTCCTTTTCATTTTATTTTCACTGAGATGAGTGTAAAATAGAATACGATTACACGTAATTACAATGTAAGTCTGCGTAAAAAATAAATGTAAAATATTATGCGATCATATCTTCTACTTAATTAAAATATTAGTAATAGTTATCAGTGATTTTCATTAAAAATTTTTATGCTCGCAAGGATAAATAAAAAACATTATATATNATAAGCGAAAGAAGGGAAAAAAAAGAAAATTTTTTGAGCAATCGCCTCAGCTTGGATTCGAGCCTGCTTTCCCTCGTTCCAACCGTGAGTTACTAGTCCGGTGTTTTGACCACCAGACCGCTCGAACACGAGAAGCACACAATTTCGCTTCAAAAGTCCTCTCACAATCAGCTATGCAATGGGACACCTTCTTAGGGTCCGAGTTGGAAAATTATAACTTAATATTAAGGGGAGCTAGACCGCTTCGAAATTCAATCCCCTCCCCGTCATTTTTTTATTTATTTTTCATTATTATTCCATTATGCGTTCTTTAACAAAGAAAGATCGTATTCGTTTCGCCTTAGAAGATGCCAGAGTTGTTACTCATTTCGCGTTACCCAGTGGGCACCTGTGAACCAAAGTCACGGAGGCGAGTAACATTGCCCACGCCACACTGCCACAAACCCGTTCATTGGATGGGCCGCATTCACTCATCACACACAGCAGAGGACAACACAAGAGAGAGAAACAACCATGCCCAGAGAGGGATTCGAACCCGCGGCCATTGGCTTCGCAATCAGGCACGCTAACCGCTCGGCCACCTGGCGGGCATAAAACAAAATCTATAAAGTGATTAGCGAATTCAAATGATCTTACATGAATTGGAAAATTTTCAAGAATGATTTAAAATATTTTTGTAACAAGATTGTCAGATTACAAAATATGAAAACAGAAATGCAAATTGAGGTAAAAGTGTAAATAGAAGGATTTTTCTTTATAGTATGTTCTTATTGCAGTATTGAAGCACGTTCGATTTGTTAGATACGAAAGACGGGCTCGAAAATGGATGTGCGCAAGGTAATATAATATTGGATATATATATATATATATATAATTTCTAATAATACGATAAAATAATACTATTATATCGGATTACAATATTAGTCACATTTATTAGCGAATGATGGTCTAACATTAAAATGGTCAGGTAGCAAGAAAAAAAATTACCTGAATGAATAAAAAAAAGTGTGTTGGGTGTCAGATGAAAGAAAAAATTTATGACAAGCACGAGGAGAATTCAAACTTTTAATTAATTTTATAGATTTATAGTCTTTATTTATAATATCTAGAAAAAGATTTTTATATTAGTTACAAAAGAATTACTTAAATACTTAAACTAACAAGAACAGTAAAATGATAAACATTACCTCAAAATGAAAAAAAAAACATTTCATGAAAAAAAAATTTTTTTAATCTTTTGAAATGGCAACGGTTATTATACACCACATACTAATACCAATGTCAAATGTAACGAACGCTTTGTTCCAGACTTTTAACAAGAAAAAAACTCTAAAATAAGATCTTGATTAAAATTACGTGTAATAACTGTCTATATTTTAATATGCAATAAATTGTTTTAGCTGAAATATTCATTCAAAAGTTATCAGAAATATTAAAAAATAGTTTAATTGATTTATGTATTTTTAAATTTAGAAAATTATTTTCTTAATATCGTAAAAAAAGGATGAGAAAATAATTTAAAAAGCGATTCGAGTTTTACGTAATGAAAACGAACGAAATCTTAAAACTAAACTTATTTAATGACAACTTAGTGGAGAATACAAAACGATAAATAAATTGCTTTAATTATCTTATATCGTGCCTTATTAATTTAATTTATCATTTCTCATATCAAAGTTTCCAAATGTGGGTTCAAAATATCAACTAAAAGTTAAAAACAAGACATATTTGATGACCATTTCTATTTCCAAACGTGATTACAAAAATGTGAATAAATTGCTTTAATTATCATGTATCATGTCGTATTAATTCAATTCATCATTTCACATTTACAATAAAAGTTTCTAAGTGTGAGTTCGCAGTTTCAAAATTTTAAAACGGGTAATATTTGATAGTCACATCTATGCCTAAACGAGATAACAAAACTAACAATAACTAGCTTCAATTATCTTATCAAGTCATGCTAATTTCATTTATAATTTCACATTTGTAGTAAAAGTTTCCAAGTATGAGTTCAAAGTTTCAACTAAAATTTCAAAATGATACATATTTATTATCTCATCTATTCCTAAATGATATTACAAAACTTTGAGTAACTTAATTATCTTATCATGTCTTATTAAATTTATTTATCTTTTCACATTTCTAATAAAGTTTTAAGAATTTTGATATTCATAGTACAACCCTTCCAGCTATGAAAAAAAGATTATGTAACTGAAAAATAAGCAAAAATTAATTGTAGCGAGGCTGAATGTTAAACGACACACACATAAACCTCTTTAGAATATTAAAAAAGTGAGCTACTAATCTATGTTGATATTATCATTTTTTAATTCTTCAATCAACCATAACTTTAACGAAGAATTATTTCTTAGTACATTTATAATTATTAATATTTCTGTTGAAAAATTTAAAATGTAGTTTTGTGAACATAACAGAAAAATCTTCTGTAAAAATAAATCCACTGCTCATATTTTGTATTGTGAATTTATTATTAAAGATTTATTATTAAAATGTTTCACTTTTTAAGACATTAATGCAAATGCTAATTGTTCATATAATGATCTTATTACTTCGCCTTTGCACAGCATATAATGTAATATTTTACCTAATTGAGTACTTCTTGCACTTCAAGAAGATCACAGATACCCACACATGACGTCCGCTCCAGTTGATAGCTTATAAGCAAAATTTAGTGCTAAAGTTGAGCTAAATTTCGTCACATAAGTGAGAATGTTAATAAACAAGAAATTGATTAAATACAGCGCTATATCTCACATTGTTTTGTTGACATATAATTCTTTCGCGTCTACGTCTTTTACTTAACTTAGATTTATTATTTGTTCACATATTTTATTGTAATCGTGATATATTTTGTTCAGTGTACCTGGCAATTTTAATACATAATTAATTTGTTCATGTTCTGCATGGATTCGTGTCTGCCTTAGTAATAAGTAAGAAATGTATGGAGAAAGAATCTTTGTAAAAGAATATAGAATGAGTCACCTAAGAGAATTGATACTTGGCGAGTTTGGCTTACTCGAAATAGAATGGAAAGAACAGTTGCCAGGATCTAGATAACTGAACTACGTCACTTGCAGGCATCCCATTGTAGCCTTCTCGGCTCAGCCATGACAGTTTCGTAATTCTTTTTCTCTTTTAGGGAAAAAACAACTCTTAGTTGCTGATATCAATGTCGCTAGTTATACATTTATTTGCTCTGCTACATTTGCATTATTTATTATTCAGGAAAAACTACAGGCGAAGCCGAAACCTCTAGACTGATTTTGAAATTTTATTAGAAATTAAAAGTTTTATGTAACTGCTTTTCTCTAAAAAAAAGTGGAGCGTGTTACCTCGAGGAGCAAGATGGCATTCACATAATTTCTACCTCTGTAAATACTAAAGCTAAGCGCCTTTACTGTTTAACTTTAGACTTCAAAATAACAACTCGCCATCCATCACGTGGTAAGTCAACCAAAAAAAAATGGCGACTGAAATGCAATAAACAACAGCTTACTTTTTCATTTATTTATTTATTATTATTATTTGGAAAATGGTTTAATGATGAAAGTACATCCATTCAGAAAGAGACTATGGAAAACAATTTTCATTAAGATGTCCTATGTCTCCTTTCAAAATTTTGATCTTTCATAATCCATCTATCTGTGGTGGAAAGATTCGTGTGGAAGGAGAGCTCTTTAACAATTCGCATACTTCAAAGTTGTAATTTATGTATTATATGTATTTTGCCTCCCCACATGTTATTAAATAAAGTTCTTTAAAGTAAGCAAGTTCAATTAATTTTGTCACATATATTATTTTTACAGTTGAATTGACTTTTTATAGCCGTAGATTATTTATAGTATGATTTAGGAAGAAGAAAAAACATAATCTAATCCATGCAAAAAATAGTTTGCAAAAAGTAGGTGTTAAATGAAAAGGACCTATCAATAGCAATGACCGACTTATTCGATTTTTTTTTTTTTTTTTTTTTTTTTTTTNCTTTATGGGACTTCCAACAAGGTTGCGTTAGACGTTTAACGCTACATTTTTATTGGCCGGGAAATCACGTGGTGAATCCAGTTTTTCCTCATTCATTTCCATATTGTTTTGGTTCTCACTAGCATAAAAATAATAAAAGTATTGTTTTT